CAGCATCCTACAGAAGCGAAACAATACAAGCACAGCCCCAACGAGCTTCCTGTTATGGAGTGACTGTTTTTATGCACATGAGATTTGATGAAGAACAAAATCTCATGGAAAGCAGAGTAAAAATGCTATCAGACCACTTTGTCTTCCATTTCCCTTTCAGTGTTTTTAATTCCCCTCTACTGTTAGTAAAGCAAGGGTCGGAACACTTAATGCAAATCAATATTCATTAAATCAATATCATGATTTTGAGCCCAGCACAGTTTACTCTAAATTTAGAGTAAGCCATGATGGGCTCTAAATCATGATAACTGATTTAATGAATCATGCATTTATCTAAAAATGTTCCAGATCGTTCCTGGCCAAGATGCAAATTCTCCCTGGATAGGAAACATCTCCCACTTCTAACGTGCTTCTAATTAGGCCTCTCCCATTTCCGCCCCATAGCAAAAATACAAGCAAACTCTCACTTAAAAAGAAAAACTGAAAGCAACTTCTCTTGCCAAGCTGCATCTTAAATTCTCCTCGTTATACAGTTCTTTCTTTACAGCACAAGGCAAAGCCTGGGCTGTGAGCTTCCCCCTCTCTCTAGCCAGAACAATTCCATAACATCTGGTTCACATCCTACCTCTATACCAGGGGTGTCAAACTCGATTGCATTGAGGGCTGCATCAGGGTTGTGCTTGACCTGGGGGACAGGGGGGCGTGGTTATGTAGGTGTGGCCGGCTTGATGTCACTCATGTTGGGGGCACCTGTGGTGGCCCAAGTGCTCTACCATCAAAAACGGCTCCATTTTCGGCTACGATGGCCTCCTGCAACCCTCTGCCAGAGACAACAGAGCTCGGGAGGGCTACAAGCAGCCCTCCTGAGCTCTGTTTTCACTGGCAGAGGCACCGCGGGCCAGTCCTTTGCTGTTTTCACTGGCAGCTCCGCAGGCCAGATCTAAGCATCCTGTGGGCCGGATCCAACCCCCAGGTGTCAGCTTTGGAAGCCATATTCCACGCTGCCACATAGCCTGAGAAAGTGGGAGGGGGTGATTTCAATTAAGTAGCTCTAGGTAGACAAAATAAAATTATTTTCTTAGTTCAAGGCCATTGAATATGGCTCAGGATGAAATAAGGATCTTACTTTTGGACGAATCATGATTGGGCCATGTGATGTGATGACGATCAAGGCGGGATGGATTTGTAGTTTGGGAAACTGTGGAAAGCCCAAAAAACCTGTTAGATTCGGGATTCCACAGATGTGCCAGGGGCTATTCTAATAAAGGTGCTTTTCAGATATGTTTGTCTCGGAGTTACTGATTGGAATGGAGCTTTGCTGGAACGCTGACAACAGGCCTTGATTTTTGACACCCCTGCTCTACACCTACTCTAACTACGCACGCACCCTCCAAATTATTGAAAAAGACCACCCCCAACATGACTTGGCCATGGGAAAAAAGGAAGGACCCCCATCATCCATGGTGGACTTCCATCCTGAGCCAGTTGAGCATCCACACCCACCGAAGGAGTTAAGACTGCAATTCCCACTAATCTCATTAGCCATATGAGAGGGAGCTGAAAGATATCTCAATTGGAAATAGCAAAGGAATGGCCTGCGGTGCTTCTGGCAGACAAGACGGGGTGTGTGGAGGGGCCCATGAGACCCCCGGCGCCCCATTTTTTACCTTAATAGCCTCCTGCAACACTCTGCCAGCCAAAAGGGGGTGCAAGGGGCATTGCACACACACACCAGCACCCTGTTTTCAGCCTAGATGGCCCCTTGCAGCACTTGGCGGGTGGTCCCCTCCCCGTGCCCCATTTTGGCTGGCAAAGCGCTGCAGGAGGCCGCCCAGGCCGAAAACGTCCCTCCTGTCTCCCACTACCACCCTGCTGGCCCACGAAGGAAAAGTACCATGCTGATCCGGCCCTCATAGAAATCCATTTTGACACCCCTGCATATGATGGAGGACCATGCTCAACGTTAAATCTAGCATCTCAGGCTTCCCTTAAGATAGCATTTACCAATCGCCACTTGCAATTCCTGCCCTGCTCTGTTTGAAAGGCTTGTGAAATTAATCTAGTATTAAAAACAGAATCCCATCAAAGCCATGATCAACAATCAGATACTGTACTCGGGTATTTGGGCGTATCAAGCTCTTACTCATGCTCAAATGCTTTTCTCACAAACCTTATTTGTACAGCTTTGCAAAGGTGCAGCAAGGACATGTTAGGTTTGCTGCATCTGTTGTTTATCCAGGGAAGCATTTGAACACATTACTTTTCCAGGCAGAACTGGCCATTTTGAGAGTTCTTCCTTGTTAAACTGTTTATCTGTAGCTAATCCTCGACTTACAACCATAATTTGGAATAGAATTTCTGTTGAATTTCTGTTGCTAAGCAAGGCTTAGCATTAAGTGAGCCACCCGATTCTGCAACCTTTTTTTTTTTGGCCACAGTTAAATGAATCAAGCAGTCATTAAGTGAATCTGGTTTCTCCCACTGTCTTTGCTTGTTGGAAGCCAGCTGGGAAGATCAGAAATAGCGATCAAGTTCTAAATAAAGGCTAATTATTGTCAAGCGCCAGAATTTTGATCATGTGACCAATCAGTTATTATTCACATTTTTCAGTGATTTCGAACAGTCGCTAAATGAACAGTTGTAAGTTGAGGATTAACTGTACTACAAACTTTAAGGCAGTGCAACGTTAAAGAATCTGATGATGTACAACAGGGGTCTTCAAACTTGACAGCTTTAAGACTTGTGGACTTCAACTCCCAGAATTCCTCCTCCAGTCATGTTAGCTCAGGAATTCTGGGAGTTGAAGTCCACAAGTCTTAAACTTGCCAAGTGACCCTTGATGTAAACTATACTCCATGAGAGAGATATCAATCCATATGCATTTAAGGTCACCCCAAATTCCCTTAGAAGTAAACACTGGGGATTTCATTAATGTTTAAATGCTTTTCTTTCCCAGAATTCAGACCCTGGAAATCATTTTTTTAAAACCATTAAACCAGTCATCTTTCCTCACAATATCATCATCACCATCATTTTAGCCATTGTCCATCCACTGCAAAATGAAGGCCTTTCCTGCATGTTTCCAACCAATACATTCTTGGGCTTTCTTTTTGCCCACAATATTTGCTGACCCCCACAATATATTCTAAGCCAGAGGTCTCCAAACTTGGCAACTTTAAGACTTGTGGACTTCAACTCCCATACCTGGCTGAGGAATTCTGGGAGCTGAAGTCCACAAGTCTTAAAGTTGCCAAGTTTGGGGACCCTGTTTCTAAACCAATGTTTTTTTTTTTTTTTTTTTTTAAACTTGGCAGCTTTAAGATGTCTGGAAATTCTGGGAGTGGAAGTCCACACATCTTAAAGTTTGCCAAGTTTGAAAAATCCTGATCTGAACTGTTGCATGGAGTCCTTCGTACACTCAGAGCCTCTTACAGATATTTCACTACCCAGCTAGGCAACATCTCCAACGATCTGCTGTTACCTAGAGTTTGTAATGAAACATCATCAAGAAAACCACCAAGCTCAGAGAGTACAGGCAGACCTCGACTTACAACAGTTCATTTAGTGACCGTTCAAAGTTACAACGGCACTATAAAAAAGGTGACTTAGGACCATTTTCCACACTTATGACCGCTGCAGCATCCCCCATGGGTCAGGGGATTTACATTCAGATGCTTGACAACTGACTCGCATTTATGACGGTTGCAGTGTCCTTGGGAGGGGGCGGTGTCCCACGACCCCTTTTTGCAAACTTCCTACAAGCAAAGTCAATGGGGAAGCCAGATTCACTTAAAAACCCATGTCCCTAATTTAAGAACCGCAGCGATTCACTTAACGTGGCGAGAAAAGTGGAAAAAAAAACAGCTCAAACTCACTCAAGACATGTCTTGCTTAACGACATACATTTTTCAATTCGGGTCAATTGTGGTCATAGGTTGAGGACCGACGTGTACCAAGGACTCCACAATTCAAACCTGAGCTACAAAGACTCTCTTTCTGTTGTGTAACTAGTTGCACCCTGCAGTCAAACCACACCAGGTTGGGTTGTTTTTTTTTTAAATCATCAATAAATCAAACTACAGTGCAAGCAATACAAACAAGGCCTAGAATTCCCTTGAACGGGGCACCATCTGGAAGCAAGCGGTAGAAACAGAGGTGCCATTTTGCTCTCTTCCCCAGGAATAAACTTATACAATAGCTTCTTCGGGCAAAGGCGCCCATTTCACTCCTCCACAGCCCCGGGGATCAGACCTCCCCCCGCCCCCCCGCACGATCGTTTTCTCTTGCAAACCCCCCTCCCCCCCCGCTAAAGATCCCGTTTTAAGCGATTAAGCCTCTCTGGATTCCTTCAAGCCACGTAACGGGGCCCTTGGGTCCGGGATTCTTGGGGGAAGGAGGGAGGCGGGGGAAGGGGGGGGGGGGGGGGGGGGGGGGGGAAAGAAACCCAACCGATTCAGGCGCAATCTGTAGTAGTGGATTTGAGAGCGACCCTTTCGAATCGCGGGATCTCTGGCCGCAGATTCCACGGCTTAGGCACGTTGGCTCGCGGGGCGAAGACAGCGCAACTATGCGACGGAGGGAAGCGGGGGGGGGGGGGGGGGGGGGGGGAACCACGGGAAGGAAAGGTGGCGGGGAGAGATAGGAAAAAATGCAGGCGGAGGCGCTGGACTCTGCAAGCAGAGCGGGAGAGAGGGAGGAAAGTTCACCCGATCCTGGCTCGGGACAACGGGGGGGGGAACCGGGGGGAAAGGAACCGACTGCAAACCCCCCCCCCCAAAAAACACCCCCGATCCTTCCCACCCAGGCGCGGCGGGGGCCAAGGGAAATCGCAGAGCCCGGATTGCACGCGTGTGCCCTGCAGTCGCGCGTGGCGCCCCCGGTTTCCTCCTTTGGCGTTACGTTTTCGTCCCTTCGGCTGGAGGGAGCGGGCCCTCCGCAGCAGCCCGCCCGGGCTCGGCTGGCTGGGCGCCTCCCGCCGCCGCCGCCGCCGCTCAACTTACCCATTGCAGGACTTTGATGAAGCCGAGCGGCTCCTTGGCGGGCCCCAGATCCAAATTAAACCCGGACATTTCCAGCGGGGAGCGAGCGGAGCGCTAGGGAGGCGTCTCTTTCGGTTTGTCGCTCCGGGAAGGGGGAGCGGGGCAGGGCGTGCGAGCGGAGGGAGGGAAGGGGCGGTTACGGCCGAAGGGGCCGTCGGCTTCCTATCTGATTCACTCGCTCCGGGCTGGCGGGACGTCGTGGCTGCTGGCGCTCCGCCCCGCGGCTCCAAGGCGTAGGCCCCGCGTCTGGTGACAGTCGCCCTTGGAACCGCGAGGTGGAGTGCGCTGGCCGGGCCGGCAGCCTCCGTCAGGCCAGGCTCTCTTTAGGAGCGGGTGGGCCCCTCTTCCTTCAGGGCCCGCTGCGTTCTCGGGGCTCTCCGCTCGCCCCTGTTTTGCTGTGTCGCCCCTCTCAGGCTGTGAGGGTGAAAGAAGATCCCCTTTCCTTGGCTTGGCGGTCTTTGAGCCTTCATTTGCCTCACCCAACTTTCTCTTATTTTGGCCAAGCCGCTTGAGGGAATTCACTGGAGAAAGCAATTATATTTGAAAGCGGTAAAAGGAAGCAGGCCGTCAAAGAACACAGTGGGTGGACACCATCAAAGCTGACACCGGCCAGAGCATAGAAAAACTCATAGAAGTTTTTCTCAAACCCACAAAACTTTAACCTCAAACTGTCTACCGTGGCCGTCACTCCATTGCTAGGCCTGTAGGGGAGTACATAAGCGCACCAGCATGCCTACCGTCCCTGTCCTACTGTTCCCATGTATTGGAACTCATTTATTATGTATATACTTATACTTGTTTATACTTATATGTATATGACTTATTAAGTGTTGTACCTTATGATTGACTCTTGATGAATGTATCTTTTACTGTGAGCATTTGCACTAAGACAAATTCCTTGTGTGCCCAATCACACTTGGCCAATAAAGAATTCTATTATATGGTATGCTACCCATGAAGAGTGCTTGGAAGCTACAACTGGTACAGAACGCAGCAGCATAAACAGCGGGAAATTCAACGTAGATAAAAGCAAGGTTTTATACTTAGGCAAGAAAAGCCAACTGTACAGATAGAGGCTAAGTGAAACTTGGCTTAATGCCAGTAACTGTGAGAGGGATCTTGGAATCCTGGTGGACAGTCACTTAAATACGAGCCAACAGTGCATGGCAGCAGCCAAAAAAGCCAATGCAATCCTAGGCTGCATTAATAGAGGGATAGAATCAAGATCACATGAAGTTCTAACACTGCTTTAGAAAGGCTTAGTAAATCCACCCTTGGAATACTACATCCAGTTCTCGTCACCACAATATAAAAATATGTTGAGACTCTGGAAAGGCTGCAGTGAAGAGCAACAGGAATAATTAAGGGGTTGGAGGCTAAAATCAGTGAAGAACAGTTACAGGAATTGGGTATGTCTAGTCTAATGAAAAGAAAGACTAGGGGAGATACATGCTTGACAAACTAAATTAAACAAAAAAATAAAAATAAAAGTAGGGCAAGATTGGAAGATGTGGAGAAAGCTGGCCCCCGTAGAATTGCCAAGAGTTGGACATGATTAAATGGATAACATTAACATTGGATGTTTTAAAGAAGAGATTGGACAATTGTTTGTCTGAAAAAGTGTAGGGGTTCCTGTTTTGGGGGGGGTTGGACTAGAAGACCTCCAAGGTCCCTTCCTACTCTATTATTGTGTTGTGATCATTATTTTCTATTGGTGGCTTAATAAAAGCCCGGCTTAATGGTCTGACCAACTTTCCATAGTCAATGAAGTGTTGATGTTATACCAAGAAGCAGGCTCAACCACTTGAGGGCGCAGGATCTATCCAACAACAAAGATCTGGCCGCATTTTAGGAAATGTTCAAGTTGAGTGGGATTCAGCTCCCAGAATTCCCCAGCCAGTATTGTATGCTGCCTGGGGAATTCTGGGAACTGAAATCCACACTTCTTAAAGTTGGTGAGGTGAAGAAAACATGGCTTAAGACAGGGGTGTCAAACTCGCGGGCTGCGGGCCAAATGGTTCACATGCTGTCACCTCCCCTGCCCGGTTTAGCGAAGTGAGCTAAAAAAGTCCCAATACGTCACGTGACGTGAGTTTGACACCCCTAGTTTAAGACCGCCCCATGCCTGGCTATTAATGTTCCAGGCTGTTCTCCATAGCCAACTGCATATGCCATGTTTCTATATTGTAGCTCGAAGCTCCTGGAAACATAGTCCCTGTGGCAGTATGGGAATCGCTTACTAATTACTAAGTAATTCTGGTGAAATACAAACTTGCAAACTTGTAGCGTGAGTTTTTGTGGCTGCTGCAGAGTGACTGGTTTTTTTCCCCTCCCTCTTCTCTTTAATCCTTTATTAAAGGAGTGAAATTTCCAATCCCAAATGTCTCAAACCCAAGATTATAGCCACTTCTTAAAGCACATGGAATTGAAGCTCCTTAATTGGGAGTTTCAGTGAGGCAGTTGCTGCTTAAAACGAGTTGCCAATATGTTCATTCCTTGTGAGGGATTTTGAGATCATTTAGTCCAGCCTCCTGCCAAATCAGTCCTTCAGAGCTCATTCATTCTTAGTCTATATCCTTCTTCTGTTTTCTTAAACTAATGATAAGAAATGTTCGGACCAGTGTTCCCCAGCTGGCTAGGGAATTCTTAGAATTGAAGTCCACTCATCTTAAAGTTGCTAAGGTTGAGAAACGTGGATTAGGAGGGAAAAAAAGGCTAGTTTTAGGCTGTATGCTCTCATCCCAGCCCAAAAATTGTATTGAAATACTTTCCTATGCAAAGAATATGATTGCATTTAGTATATTCAACTCAATATCTTGCATGTGTGTTTTAGTTACATCAAAATCACTCAATTTTTTTAAACAATCACCTGAACCAACAAACATCATACAATTATGAAAGTGCCAGATGTCTGATGTGGAAAATTTCTGATGCTGGAAAATTTATTTTGCTGCAAGTTTTCCAGACCTGATCTCAAAAATCCTTCCAATATTAATTTTCTTAAGTAAACCTGCATCTCCACAAGAGCCAGTTGCTTAATGTTTACTATTTCTTGGATGTAATGCTTTGTTAAAAAAAAAATCAAATATCAATTTTAAAAAAATGAAATATAAATGTCAGCTGTTTCACTGCTTTGGAGGATTTTCTTTGAAATGCTGTAGTCACTATAGTTTTACTTGGCAGTAATTATTACTGTACACAATTGTATGTGTGCAGATGTGCACAAACTATTTGGATTAGTTGCAATGAGCAGTAACTGATTAGGAACAAGACACAATTTACGTTCATAACAAGCAAAATAAGATTTAGAAAATGCAGGATTGAACCAGGGCCTGCATTTATGTGCCTAGACTGTGAGTAACATTGTGATTCTTGATAAAAAGGACTACAATGTAACTTCATTGAGTAGCAATCCCAGGCCAAAAGGTCGACAGAAGGTGAAAATAAGAAGGCAGAAGGCAATTTTCTTTAACCTAATGACAGCCAGTCTGGATAATAAAACTTTCAGCTTGAACTCTGTTGATCATAACGATGCTTTTCTCTTGCTTTCAAAATTATTTGGGGGCATTTGTTGATATTTGATTTTTGTCTGAATGCCTAGCTTTTTTTACGTGAAGGATAATTCTTGCTATTTTGCTCAAAGCCTCCAGCTCTGTAATGGGAAACTCTCTTCTGAACTGCCTTAGGAAATCAGAGGTATCCGTCCTCCCTCTTTTCTTTGGAGCAAATAACATAGAATGAATGACCCAATTCAGAATTTGTCTAGTTAGGATTTGATAATATTTTATACTAGATTGACGCATGGTCTTCATTCATTCATTCATTCTTCAACTTTGAAAGTTTTGAAGCGAATAGCTGGTTGGGACCTGGAGGCGTGCTCTGTCTCAAACTGACCCTGTCAAATAGAGGAGTGGAGGGGCGAGATTGGACCACCCGTCACTACTACGACCCCAGACATGTGGGACCCCTTGCACGGTTGACTTGCAAACTCATTCTTGCAGGCAGCTTATCAAGGGGAGGGGGGGGGAAACCCTTTTATAGCTTCTTCCGGGATTTTACACGGCATTGATCGCACGGCCAAGCAGAGCTGCTTCGCAGACTACAATTCCCAGCATTCAACGGAAACGGGAATCCAGCCTCGCACTGCATCCTGGGACCTGTGGTCTCGTACCTGCATCTCAGGCTGAGCGCAAAGGAGGTTCAACTTCTTATTAGCTGGTTTAAAAGACTTCTCTTGCAACAGTTCATGGAGAGAGCCATAGTTACTCCGCGTCATAAAGCACAGGGGAAATCCGAATTTTGTTCTTTGTACAGTCATTTTAGCAAGGTCCTCCGACCTCTCTCTCTCTCTCTCTCTCTCCTAGGCGAGCGACCATTACGCCCGTCTCAATCGTTCACCATGCCCTAAGGGCCGTTCAGGCTCGAGTGCGGCCGCGGTGCCCGATGGGAAACTTAGTCTTTCCTCTTTCATCGCTTCGGTCGGACTGCAGAGCGCCAAACCAAAGCCAGGACTCTTTCCCCCACAATTCGCATCTACGTCAGAAGGGCGTTTCCGGCCCGCGGCGCCCGACGGGAACCGCGGTCCAGGAGTCTCGCCCCCTCCTCTTTCTCTCAGGGCACAGCTGCCCGACGCGGGACTCGCACTCCCAAGCTGCCTCGCGCCCGCGAGCTGGAGGCGCTGGTGGAGGATTGTTATTGTGGTGGCCCGGCCCCCTAAGAGTCCTCTCAGTGTTTAAAGATGGCGGCGGCGGCGGCGGCTGCTGCGGCGGCAGCGGCGGGAGGAGGCGGCGGCGGCGGCGGTAGCGGCTCCTCCTCCTCCTGGGCCTCGGTGCCGCGGGGCCGCTTTCCGGGACGGCCCGGCGGGTGCCGCGCGCGGGGAGCCGGGGCCGGCAGCCGCGCGCGGATCTCGCTGCTGGCGCCGCAGCTGCTGCTCTGGGCCGCCTCCTCCGGAGAGGGCGAGCGGGCCGTGTCGGCGGCGGCGGGGGACACCACCCTGGGGAGCCTGCTGGGCCTCAGCCGGAGCTGGCGCCGCCTGCAGAGTCTGCTGGGGGACAGCAGCGAGGAAGAGCCGGTGAGATTCCCGCGGCGGCGGCGGCCCTTTTGACAAGGAGGGCGGCCCTTGGCGCCACCGAGCCCGCTTCCCTTCCCTTCCCGGCCGGGCTGAGCGGGCCGTGTACGCGGCGGGTTGACCTTTCGGGCAGCCCCCCGTCTCTCCCCCCCCCCCCTCTAAATATACCCCCCCCTGTCCCCCCCCCCCTCCCAAGTCGGGCGTCTCCTCCTGGGAGCCACGGGGCTGCGGTGCACGGGAGGGCGGGCGGGGGAGGTTCCTGCTCGCCATCCCGGCGTCCAGGCAGGGAGTGTCGTGGCAGCCTTTCCTCCCTGGATCTCGAAGGGGACGGAGCCGGTTCTGAGCCGGGCCCGCGCCTCCTGCACGTGGATTGCGGCGCTTTATCGCTCAGGAGCGGCCTTGAGGAGGTGTATGGGTGGGTGGGTTTCCAGCATTATGGGCCCCGGGCAAAGCAATGTACTGGGACCCCCTACGACAACTACTCACAGGAGGATGGGATGAGTGGCTGATGTTGCACCTGTGTTGAACCATGATTTGGAAGTTTTTCCAGTATTAATTTCTCTTAAGGCATGTTAGGATTAATTTTTTTTTAACGTGCAGCAAAATGGAATAAATATGTTGCTGTATTTGCGTGATACAAGGTGCATGGGAGGGTTAACACGCACAGATTAGTATGGGGCCCCTATGCTTGTGGGGCCCATGGGCAAGTGTCCATCGGGCCCATGTGTTAAAGACAGCCCTGACTGGACCGGCTTGCCTCGCCCGGCAGGCTCCAGAAAGTGACTTCTGCTAGCTGGGTTTAAATGCTTCCGAGGGGCTCCTGGTGAGTTTTGATAGCCGCTGACCTAGTCCGGGCGTGAGATTGATCTCCCCCTCATCTCCCCACTTTCCCGGGGTGCTTCCCTCTTCCCAAGAAAACCAGGCCCTGGGAATTGCAGCTGAGCTAGCAGGGAGCAAACCTGGAACTGATGGCCTGGCTGCTTATCCAAGCCTGCTCCTCCCTTTGTGCCGCTTTGGCATGGCAGTGTGCAACTAGTTCAGGTGTGATGGGGTAGCCATGGTGAACAGATGCTGTCCTCCTTGGGGGGAAAAGCGAGGAGGAGGAAGAGGAGGGGTTTGCTTCCAGCCCTTGTTGTTTGCAGAGGCAGCTGTTCTCCCTTTTTTTGCTCCTAGGTGCTCTTTAATAGGAAGGTGGCTCTTTGGGAGAGAGGGAGGAGAAGGAGGGCCTGTTCCTGGTTAGTTGGGGGGTGTGGTGCGTTCAGACATATGCTGCCTTTGTTTCCTCCTGGATTTTCCAGAGTTAACTCTTTGAACCTACCTCAGAGGCTTTCTCCTCCTCCTCCTCCATTCTCCTGTATCCTGATCCTTGGAGGAACCAGCTTAACCGGAGAAGTCCTCTCATACAGCTTCTTTCAAAGCAGCTTGGCAGATCCTTGCAGGATTTCTAAGGAAATCGCAGGCTTCTAAAACAGTCCCATGATTCCTGAAAGGGCTGGAGGTTGTTTTTTTGAAAAAAGATGATGTTGCTTGCTTCCAGGAACTTCAAAAAGTTACTTGGGAACATCCAGGAAACTGGAAATGTCTAGGAAGTGCCGGAAACAGGCTGGAGGGTGGCTTGACTTTCATATATTTATGGCAGCTCCTTGGGTATGAATCGCATTTCCATAATCTTAATCCAGAACTATATGGACGAGAACATTTAGCCGAAGCTAAGATTAGTACTAGGTGAAGGGATATCCCTTCCCTTGGAAGAGGTTATTGATATGGAAGAGCTTTCTGTCATGATTCCCACTTGCAGACTGCAGTCATCCAGTCAATATACAGTAAAAGTTTCCCCTATTTCAGTTTGATTGGCATCAGCCCTGAATATTTGCAACTTATCTTTCCCAACCCCCTTGGAAGCAGCACATCAAATAGGCCTTTACCAGCTATTTTTGTATTTGGGGCTGCTTGCAAAAAGATGGATGATGGCTCCCTGACAGGTTTCAGAAGCCTGGTGACATCTAGTCTTCTAGAAGAAACTAAGGGAATCAATCCTAACAGGAAGTTTATGTGGCCTTTGGCATGGGTCACTGCTTCCTAAGGTGGAAAGCTTTACATGAAGGGTCTTCAAACTTGGCAAGTTTAAGACTTGTGGACTTCAACACCCAGAATTCCTCCTCCAGTCATGTTAGCTCAGGAATTCTGGGAGTTGAAGTCCACAAGTCTTAAACTTGCCAAGTTTGAAGACCCTTGATGTAAGGCATTCGACCTTAGGAAGCAGTGACCCATGCCAAACAATTCTCAAACCTTTTACTTGTGGCCTCGTTTCAAAGGCCACATCAACTAGGATAGACAGTGACCTCAGGCCTAACATGGCAAAGCAAAGCAGATACCTACTTAGTACTTCAAGTGGGATTCATTTCATTACCTGATGCAATAGCCATGGTCTCTGTGGTCCCAGATGAAATATTGTAAGCACGACACTTTTTTTCCAGCTATCTCACATCTTTCACAAAAGACAAAAGATGTGCCGTGTTCATACTTCTAAAGCCACACTTGAGGGGTATCTGCTAGAACTCTTTTGAGGATGATTTTGTCATCAAGGTTTTTCTTCCCCTTTTGATTTTGTCATTTGGGTGTAACTTGACGGTTGTCCTGGTCCTTAGTGACATCATTTAGCTTGCATGAGAAAAGACTCTGAGGGTTGGCCTCTTAAGCCCTGTTTTTATTCCTTCTCCCTTAGCACTTGACATCTTGTTGACAGCATGCAAGAGAGCAACCGGGGCGTTGGATTTGTGAAGTAACATTTTAGGTTGAGCATTCTAGGTAGGCAAAAGGCACTAGAAGGCTTTGTACTGCCTTTAAAACTGATGAAAATTAATCTCAGTTGTGGGGAGTTTGAACGTAAGTCTCTGCCTCTTAAGAGAAGGTCTATATAAGATTTACCTGGTTTGCTGCTGGCCATAATACAGCAGCCAACCCAATGAATATGGAAAGCTTGCAAACAGGTTTTTTTTTAAAAGAATTGCATGATCTTTGATTTTAGAGATTAATATATACCTATCCGAATTAGTGATGATTTGCAGCCCAATCTTCTATTAGTGCTATAGTCCCCTTTATGCTTAAATTGATAGCTGTTGGCCACATCAAGTGTTTAGTACATTCCATAGCTACAGTTGTGCAAACAAGTATATTTTTTCTGAATAGTCACGAATCTTGTGTGTAGCTATATTAAATTCACCATCTCAATAGGAAGAAAAGTGTTTCTCTACTTTCTCCTTTTCTGTAATTTCTCCCTCGCTTTTTCTTTCTTTTTAGTTTGTCCTTTCCTTGCCGATGGCTCTTACCATGATCCTTGCTTAGTGTAAACAAGTATGTAGAACTTGGGAACTGAAAGATTCAATTGTTCTTTGTCTCTGTTCATCTATGCAGTTTCTGCACTTACGGACCAAGCAGGCCTTAACTAGAGTTCCATTAATAATGGTATATACATTTTCCTTACAAGTTACATTTTCCATTGCAGCCAATTGCCTGACAATTACACATTTCATGCCACCCGATTCAATACATCCTAAAATAAAATTCTAGTCCCCGGGAAATATATTTTACTATATGTCCCCAAACTATATAGACTTTTCATAGCTCCAGAGCTGCCTGTGGGCCTTATGGTATAGGAACTGCATGGACACTGCACTGCATATCCTTAAGTAGGGCCTAACAAGTTTAAAACCGGGAAAGGAAAAAAATCTGTATCAATTTGAAAAAAAGAAATCTTCAAAGTATCTTAGCTCTGCCCTTGTGCTTCATCATCACTCCACTCATCGCATCTTTTTTTAAAAAAATTCTGATTATAGTGCCCAATTATCCAAATGTTGTCCTCTGCACACTTAAAACCCTCAAAATATGGTTTGAAGGCATCCTATGTGAATGACATGGATCATAGAATGCATCTCAGACTCGATTGCAATGGACAGATTAAACAGAAAGCAAGTTTGAAAACTTGTAGATCTAGTAAGGAAGTGTCATGCCCCTGTTAGAATCTGACTCCAAGGGAGAGGAGGAACAGCCGACAAGGAGTGGGAGTGTGGCTCTGGAGGTTGTGGAGGAAACTGGGGAAGGGCATAGGCCGGCTGGGCATTCAGAGGAAGACCCAGGCTCATCCCCTCTTCATCCTAGGGCACGCAGGGAGGAGCAGATGAGGGAGAAACATGAATGGCGTGGTCTACGGGGGAGGAAAAGGTCCTGATCCCCTTCATGGGCTGCAGCTGTGAGGACTGTTTAAAAAGACAAACTACGTATGTTCCAGTGCTGGAAACAAAGCATGAAATAATTTTAGTCTTTCAGTTCTTATCTGAGTTCTGGCATCCTTCCCAATGTGTGTATTTTGATATCTGCGAGGTCTTCAAGCCCTTATCCTGCCTTGTCTCATTAATTGCTTCAGTGTGTTTGTGTTGTTTTTTTCTATTTATAAGTTATATGTATTTTGAGTTTGAACGGAATTTCTTCCTTTTCGCAACTGTTTGTGGGGGAGTTTTTTCTCCGGTCCATGATAATTGGACCTTTGAAGCCAAGTTGAAGGAATTAAAGGGACTTCACCTGTTTTTTGTGACTTTGTTGCTTTTGTATTCCACCCTGGGTCATCACAGGAAGGGTCATAGTATTTGGACCACAGTAATACAGGTAGTCCTCAACATACAACAGTTCATTTAGTGACTGTTTGAAGTTGCAAGGGCACTGAAAAAAAGTGACTTATGACCATTTTTCACCCTTATGACTGTTGTAGCATCCCCATGGTCACGTGATCAAAATTCAGCCGCTTGGGCACTGACTCAGTTTATGACGGTTGCAGTGTCCTGAGGTCGCGTGATCCCCTTTCGCGACCTCCTGACAAGGAAAGTCAATGGGGAAGCCTGATTCACTTAACAACCGTGTTACTAATTTAACAGTTGAAGTGACTCCCTTAACAATTTTGGCGGGAAAGGCCATAACATGGGACAAAATTCACTTAACAGCTTGTCTCG